TCATTCTAGAGAGAAATAAATGGCCTTTTTAGAAAGTGAACCATCGATAAGGAAATGTTGGCAGTTTTTTCAAAAAATGCAATCAACTGCAAAATGTGCGCATTTCAAATACTAATTGAGCTCTTTCGGGGTTTTCTTCAAAAGTCGTCGAGGTGATGACCACAGTGGGTCAACGGCTCTTGGCCATCAATCTCAAACGGCGGTCTCACTGTTCAGTACCCACTTGATGGGTTTTTTCAAGTGGAACCCGCTTGCGCTTCGTCTTTTGCATGGTAGCAGACAAAGAAAGGCGCTTTTATACCGAGTTCCAGCACATTTAAACTCTGAACCAATGACTAATAATGGTGCCAAACAAGCACCGCGTTAGTGACCAGCGTACCTGGCCGTTGAAAGAATGTTTCACCTGGCGGTAGCAATCTAACCTTAGATTAGTGTTTTTGTTGGGTTCCATGGGCTGTTTTGGGCGCGTATTCGTTGATTAGTGAGGCAAAATGACTGGCCAGCAAAGCTACTCGAAGACTGACTATTATAAGAGCAAAATCTACGATCCGCGAACGAAGAAGCTCTTCAACAGGAGCCCGGAATCATGTGGTAGGTTCGGAGCGTCTGATGATGGCGAAGGGCGACGCCCATAAAACGTTCAACTCACACGGGCGTTTAGAACGATTTTTGAGTTGGATTAGTTTCGCTCGGTGAAAGTGGAGGGTTTTTATTTGATTTTTGTTGTTTTTGGACAATATACAGTGTGATACTGGAAAATGTTCACATTTTGCTGCCTGTAGGCCCAATATTCTGTTCAGTCCGAGCCTCGTAGAGCTTTAATCTAGTTTAACTCTACTTAGGTATCAAAATGGGCCACTATAGAAGTATAGTGGTAAATTTTGTAATAAGTAAGTAATAATATAAAAAGTTATGCTTCCCCTATGGATAGTCCGTTCGAATGGCAGACCTTTTCCGGAGGTGTTTTTTGGAAAATGCAGTTTTTAATCACTTTTCACTCGCTGAAATACAGAACTGGCAAATTCGCGCGTTCAAAAGTCCCTGGTGGCTAAAATTATAACTACATGTTAAGGAAGTG